TCTGGCTTCATCTCCCTCCAGGCCGTGACGTTCCGGACGAAGCGGACCTGCGGGCAGACAGCGGAGCGCGGTCGGTGCGTTCCAAGGGAGAGCTCACGCGCGTTAGCACACACGTCCCGGCTGAGTATCACCGCAGGATGTGTGCTGGCTCAAGCGGGCTTCTCTGCCAGCATCCAGACAACTTACCGCAACTTAACCATCAGAAGCTAAACCAAGGCGGAACACGGCAGTCGGCAGGGCAGTGCAAGGAAAGCTACCACAGAAGCACTCACAAGGCAAACGTTTAACACTGTCAGTCCATTTTATTTGTAGTTTGAAAGGAATGCAGAACTCCCTCGGCCATCAGCAGAAACACAAGCACCCCTTTGCTGGGACTGTCTGGTCCATACCCAGTCCCTCAGGCAAAAGCGTACCAGACTTACCAGCGTGGCCTTAGACCTGTTTTACTGGGACATAAGAAAAAAATCTGATGGTTCATTTGCTCCCCCACCCCAAAATGCAATGCATGAGTAATACACAGCTTTTATAAATGTGTACAGTGTAAATTAGACCTATACTTCACCATTTTGAATAGTTACCTTGAGCCTAACATTTCAGTGAAACTTCTGTGTTAAAGCATGAAGTCGCCCTTAAACAAGGGCTGATAAAGCAGTTATCAACAGACTTTGCAAAAATAGGAATAGCTTTACATTTCTATGATAAAAACAAAATAAGACACATGCCCCAAACCAGGAAGTATGATCAAATTAAGTGGGACATGCAAATCCAATATAGCTTGGCTTTATTAGATGAACAGAGTGTTTTAACATCAAAGCATTTAACTCTGAACGTTATTTCAAAACCAGTGAATTGGATAATAAAGAAAAGATGATAAATTTGTACTGCCTGAGCTGTCTGACAATGATATGCCATTTCTGAAGCTGTGAATGAGAAGATAGTGTTCCCGGCACATCTACAGTATCTCTTCTGTTACATAGTAGCACAGATAACCACAAAGATACTGAGGTGAGAAGAGTCAAAAAAGGAAAGTCTGAGAGCTCAAGACAACACACTAACACTCTGTAAAGCCTAATGGATCGAGAGTGTCCTGAAACATGGTATTTATTATTTATTATTACCAACCAATTGAGGATTTTCAGAGGCAAGACTGGCCTGCTGCTGTTTCTTCAAATGTGTAAAACTTGCAGTCTAGGATTTAAGAGGTTGATAACCTTTACTTGTCTTCAAACAGTAGCTCTTGGACTCTCAGGTAAAAGAAATGGATATTACTTTTTAATAACAGGCAGCATTCATTTTTTCAGTGTACAAGTTTCACAGTCTGCGGCATTTTACAATTTAAACCCTATATTGCACATGAAAAAAAGTGGCAAATATAGCTGAAAAGCACTGCACAATGTTATACAATGGTGTTTCATAAACCGCACTGCCTTTCTGTCTGGTTTTGTCCACAGCACAAACTGATAATTATCTATGAGACTCTGAATCCAGTTTAACTACCTTTACTGCAACTGAAACAAACCACACTCTCATTGACGGTACGTTTCAAAGATTAATGACAAGATATTTTCAGTAGAAAGCCTTAGCTATGAATATTTCTATACCTGGGAAAGATGTTTCCTAAATGCAAAGTATATATTATCTTCCCTACCCTCAACCCCAAACCCCAAAATGTTATGGTTGGTTGATACAACTCCGCAAGTAAACCAGTTACGCCAGCTATTGTGTGTAGCACAGCATGCATAATGAAGCGTACATTTCAGTCACATTTCCATGAACAAGCTTTCTGAAGTCTAGCACCAGCTAGATTTCAGTTTCTAATAGAATAGGACTAGAGACAGGGAAACACTAAGTGCAAAATCCCAAGTGTCAGTTCTGTCTTAGACCTCCATGCCACCACCTGGCATCAAACCTTAGATGTTTTAGTAATAGTTAAAAAAATCCCTTTATTGTCTTTGTCTTACAATGTGTTTGTCTGCTCAGGAACTAATTTTTATGAGCATAGGATGGATGTTCTAGCCTTTTATTAACTTTAACCCCAGGCAAGCTAAGAGAAGGCTAGGAAGGATTTAGAACACAGCTGTGACATTTACGTCTGCTTCAAGATGGACCAGCAACCCCCCCCCCAGTTTGCAGCATTCCAAAAATCAGAATTGTTCCAGGTCACAGCCAGCCTAATGAGTCTAAATTCACACATTTTAGGGCAGAGATGAATATTGCTTTCTGCTTTATACTGTTAAATATGATCAATTTTACCTTTCTTTTTAGGGCTTAGCAGATACTGGAGCTTTCAAGAGACTGAGCAAGCGTCTCCATCTGAACCCAACTGAATAAAATTTGAGGTTACTTTAAAGTTCAGACACACATGAATGGAATTCCTGTGAAGTTGTTTCATGGTGCTTTTATATAATCAGCTACAAAGTTGCTTCACTGCCTTTAGTAAGTGCGAAATCAGCTGAGCTTCACTGAATTAAGAAGCCAGATCAAACGTACTCTGGGGGCGGAAGATGTCCTAAAAGGTAAGTTAAATACATTCAGTTTCTAGGACAGTAAGAATTTAAAACAAGTCCCAGTGAACCACAAGGAAAAAAAATCCAAACCAGCATACTTGGTCTGAGCAAAAAGCCCTGGGAAACCTGTGCGGGCAAATCAAAGTGATGTTGTAAGCTGTCACCTTCTGTTCACTAACTGCTTCCATCAATCCCTCTTCTCTACAGTCTCAGCACACTCTCTCCCCCCTAAAAGGTGGTACAGTCATTACCCTGTGGCCTGGTATCACACAGACTTCTGGATACCAAAAAAGCCCCAGCTTTTCAGGTCATTATATTCTAGTTTTGTTTGTCAGTTGCTGAATAACTGACTTAAAATTACAAATAACTGGAGGGATGAATCTCACAAGCCCAGCCTGGCTAGGACACATGAAGATTTTCCATCTGAACTACAAAAAAACGGCTCTCAGGTAAGACTGAAGACCAACACAGTGTCCGCATTAAAGGACATCTCGGATTCAGATTTAAAGCCCAAGCATGAATGGGATGACTGAATTGGAATCCCTCTGTAGGAAAGCACTTGTAGCTTAGCTATCCAAATTCAGAAGCTAACAACCCACAGTTAGCTCTAAACCAGAGGGTCAGGAACACTGGAAACAGGCTAGCAGCACACCTTTGGCAGCATGCCATGAGAAACCACAAGCAAGCTCAAGGCAAGGGCAGCTGAGAAGTGATTTTGTGAGATGGTGAAAAGACAGCGTTCACCAGTTCAGCCACGGTATGGCCAGGATACCCGCCTTGCATGAGCTGTTCTTTCTTAGCCGGAAAAACACACATGGCAC